GGAAGAGTGTGCTTAATATCATCCTGTATCCTGTCATAATATAAGCAGAGAAAAGAGACACATAACATAGAAGAGGGAAGAGTGTGCTTAATATCATCCCTGTATCCTGTCATAATATAAGCAGAAAAAAGAGACATAACATAGAAGAGGGAAGAGTGTGCATAATATCATCCCTGTATCCTGCATAATATAAGCAGAAAAAAGAGACATAACATAGAAGAGGGAAGAGTGTGCTTAATATCATCCCTCACAATGTATCCACATAGAAGAGGGGAGTGTTAATATCATCCTGTCATAATGTAAGCAGAGAAAAGAGACATAACATAGAAGAGGGGAAGAGTGTGCTTAATATCATCCCCTGTATCCTGTCATAATGTAAGTAGAAAAAGAGACATCCCTGTATCCTGCATAGAAGAGAGACATTGAAGAAGTGTGCTTAATATCATCCCTGTATCCTGTCATAATATAAGCAGAGAAAAAGAGACTTGACATAGAAGAGGGAAGAGTGTGCTTAATATCATCCCTGTATCCTGTCATAATGTAAGCAGAGAAAAAGAGACATAGCATAGAAGAGGGAAGAGTGTCATTAATATCATCCCTGTATCCTGTCATAATGTAAACAGAGAAAAAGAGACATAGCATAGAAGAGGGGAAGTGTGTGCTTAATATCATCCCTGTAACCTGTCATAATGTAAGCAGAGAAAAAGAGACATAACATAGAAGAGGGGAAGTGTGTGCTTAATATCATCCCTGTATCCTGTCATAATGTAAGCAGAGAAAAAGAGACATAGCATAAAAGAGGGAAGAGTGTGCTTAATATCATCCCTGTATCCTGTCATAATATAAGCAGAGAAAAAGAGACATAACATAGAAGAGGGAAGAGTGTGCTTAATATCATCCCTGTATCCTGTCATAATATAAGCAGAGAAAAAGAGACATAGCATAGAAGAGGGAAGAGTGTGTTTAATATCGTCTCTGTATCCTGTCATAATATAAGCAGAGAAAAAGAGACATAGCATAGAAGAGGTTAGAGTGTGCTTAATATCATCCCTGTATCCTGTCATAATATAAGCAGAGAAAAAGAGACATAACATAGAAATATAAGCAGAGAAAAGAGTGTAAGAAGAGGGAAGAGATGCTTAATATCATCCCTGTATCCTGTCATAATGTAAGCAGAGAAAAAGAGACATAGCATAGAAGAGGGAAGAGTGTCATTAATATCATCCCTGTATCCTGTCATAATGTAAACAGAGAAAAAGAGACATAGCATAGAAGAGGGAAGTGTCATAATATAAGTAGAGAAAAAGAGACATAACATAATAACATCCCTGTATCCTGTCATAATATAAGCAGAGAAAAGAGACATAACATAGAAGAGGGAAAAGAGGTGCAGAGGGAAGAGGTAATATCATCCCTGTATCCTGTCATAATATACGCAGAGAAAAAGAGACATAGCATAGAAGAGGGAAGAGTGTGTTTAATATCATCCCTGTATCCTGTCATAATATAAGCAGAGAAAAAGAGACATAACATAGAAGAGGGAAGAGTGTGCTTAATATCATCCCTGTATCCTGTCATAATATAAGCAGAGAAAAAGAGACATAACATAGAAGAGGGAAGAGTGTGCTTAATATCATCCCTGTATCCTGTCATAATATAAGCAGAGAAAAGAGACATAACATAGAAGAGGGAAGAGGTCATTTAATATCATCCCTGTATCCTGTCATAATGTAAGAGAAAAGAGACAGAGAAAAGAGAGTGCAATCATCCCTGTATAGTCAAGGGCAGAGAAAAGACATAGCATGTGCTGTAATATCATCCCCTGTATCCTGTCATAATGTAAACAGAGCAAAGAGAAAAAGAGAGACATAACATAGAAGAGGGATAGAGAGGAAGAGTGTTAATATCATCCCTGTATCCTGCCATAATGTAAGTAGAGAAAAAGAGACATAGCATAGAAGAGGGAAGAGTGTGCTTAATATCATCCCTGTATCCTGTCATAATATAAGCAGAGAAAAAGAGACTTGACATAGAAGAGGGAAGAGGTGTGTAATATCATCCCTGTATCCTGTCATAATGTAAGCAGAGAAAAAGACATAGTATAGAAGAGGGGAAGAGTCATTAATATCATCCCTGTATCCTGTCATAATGTAAGCAGAGAAAAAGAGACATAGCATAGAAGAGGGGAAGAGTGTGCTTAATATCATCCCTGTATCCTGTCATAATGTAAACAGAGAAAAAGAGACATAGCATAGAAGAGGGAAGAGTGTGCTTAATATCATCCCTGTATCCTGTCATAATGTAAGCAGAGAAAAAGAGACATAGTATAGAAGAGGGAAGAGTGTGTAATATCATCCCTGTATCCTGTCATAATGTAAGCAGAGAAAAGAGACATAAGATAGAAGAGGGAAGAGTGTGTTTAATATCATCCCTGTATCCTGTCATAATGTAATGTAAAAAGAGAAAAAGAGACATAACATAGAAGAGGGAAGAGGTGCTTAATATCATCCCTGTATCCTGTCATAATGTAAGCAGAGAAAAGAGACATAGCATAGAAGAGGGAAGAGTGTGCTTAATATCATCCCTGTATCCTGTCATAATATAAAAAAAGAGATACTTGAGAGAAAAAGAGACATAGCATAGAAGAGGGAAAAGAGACATAGTGAAGAGGGAAGTAGTGCTTAATATCATCCCTGTATCCTGTCATAATATAAGCAGAGAAAAGAGACATAACATAGAAGAGGGGAAGAGTGTGCTTAATATCATCCCTGTATCCTGTCATAATATAAGCAGAGAAAAAGAAAGAGACCTGTCATAATGTATATAGAAGAGGGAAGAGTGTGCTTAATATCATCCCTGTATCCTGTCATAATATAAGCAGAGAAAAAGAGACATAACATAGAAGAGGGAAGAGTGTGCATAATATCATCCCTGTATCCTGTCATAATGTAAGCAGAGAAAAGAGACATAGCATAGAAGAGGGGAAGAGTGTGCTTAATATCATCCCTGTATCCTGTCATAATATAAGCAGAGAAAAGAGACATAACATAGAAGAGGGGAAGAGTGTGTGTAATATCATCCCTGTATCCTGTCATAATGTAAGAGAAAAAGAGACAGGAAGAGGAAGAGGTCCTTAGTAAAGAAGAGGAAGAGGGTGCTTAATATCATCCCTGTATCCTGTCATAATGTAAGCAGAGAAAAGAGACATAGCATAGAAGAGGGAAGAGTGTGCTTAATATCATCCCTGTATCCTGTCATAATGTAAGCAGAGAAAAGAGACATAGCATAGAAGAGGGAAGAATGTCATCCCTGTATCCTGTCATAATCCCTGTAGACATAGCATAAAGAGGAAGAGAGTGCTTGGCAATATCATCCCTGTATCCTGACATAATAGAAGAGAAAAGAAGAATGTCTTTATCATCCCCTGTATCCTGTCATAATAAGAGAGAGGCATGAAGAAGAGGTCAGTGCAGAGAAAAAGAGACATTGCATAGAAGAGGGAAGAGTGTGCTTATATCATCCCTGTATCCTGTCATAATGTAAGCAGAGAAAAGAGACATAACATAGAAGAGGGAAGAGTGTGCTTAATATCATCCCTGTATCCTGTCATAATGTAAGCAGAGAAAAGAGACATAGCATAGAAGAGGGAAGAGTGTGCTTAATATCATCCCTGCATCCTGTCATAATGTAAGCAGAGAAAAAGAGACATAACATAGAAGGGAAGAGTGTGCTTAATATCATCCCTGTATCCTGTCATAATGTAAGCAGAGAAAAAGAGACATTGCATAGAAGAGGGAAGAGTGTGGATTAATATCATCCCTGTATCCTGTCATAATGTAAGCAGAGAAAAAAAGACATAGCATAGAAGAGGGAAGAGGTGCTTAATATCATCCCTGTATCCTGTCATAATATAAGCAGAGAAAAAGAGACATAGCATAGAAGAGGGAAGAGTGTGCTTAATATCATCCCTGTATCCTGTCATAATGTAAGCAGAGAAAAAGAGACATAGAAAAAGATAGAAGAGGGGAAGAGGTGCAATATCATCCCTGTATCCTGTCATAATGTAAGCAGAGAAAAGAGACATAGCATAGAAGAGGGAAGAGGTGCTTAATATCATCCCTGTATCCTGTCATAATGTAAGCAGAGAAAAGAGACATTGCATAGAAGAGGGGAAGAGTGTGCTTAATATCATCCCTGTATCCTGTCATAATGTAAGCAGAGAAAAAGAGACATAGCATAGAAGAGGGAAGAGTGTGCTTAATATCATCCCTGTATCCTGTCATTATGTAAACAGAGAAAAGAGACATTGCATAGAAGAGGGAAGAGGTGTGCTTAATATCATCCCTGTATCCTGTCATAATGTAAGAGAAAAAGAGACATGCATAGAAGAGGGAAGAGTGTGCTTAATATCATCCCTGTATCCTGTCATAATGTAAGCAGAGAAAAGAGACATAGCATAGAAGAGGGGAAGGGGTGCTTAATATCATCCCTGTATCCTGTCATAATGTAAGCAGAGAAAAAGAGACATAGCATAGAAGAGGGAAGAGGTGCTTAATATCATCCCTGTATCCTGTCATAATGTAAGCAGAGAAAAGAGACATAGCATAGAAGAGGGAAGAGGTGCTTAATATCATCCCTGTATCCTGTCATAATGTAAGAGAGAAAAAGAGATATCCCAGCATAGAAGAGGGAAGAGGTGCTTAATATCATCCCTGTATCCTGTCATAATGTAAGCAGAGAAAAGAGACATAGCATAGAAGAGGGGAAGAGGTGCTTAATATCATCCCTGTATCCTGTCAGAGATAAAAGACATTGTAGAGAAAAAGAGACATAGCATAGAAGAGGGAGAGTATAGAAGTGAGGGAAGAGGTAATATCATCCCCATCCTGTCATAATGTAAGCAGAGAAAAGAGACATAGTATAGAAGAGGGAAGAGTGTGCTTAATATCATCCCTGTATCCTGTCATAATAAAGCAGAGAAAAAGAGACATAGTATCCTGTCATAGAAGAGGGGAAGAAGAGGGAAGAGGGCTAATATCATCCCTGTATCCTGTCATAATGTAAGCCGAGAAAAAGAGACATAGTATAGAAGAGGGAAGAGTGTGCTTAATATCATACCTGTATACTGTCATAATGTAAGCAGATAAAAAGAGACATAGCATAGAAGAAGGAAGAGTGTGCTTAATATCATCCCTGTATACTGTCATAATGTAAGCAGAGAAAAAGAGACATTGTATAGAAGAGGGGTAGTGTATGCTTAATATCATCCCTGTATCCTGTCATAATGTAAGCAGAGAAAAAGAGACATTGCATAGAAGAGGGGAAGAGTGTGCTTAATATCATCCCTGTATCCTGTCATAATGTAAGCAGAGAAAAGAGACATTGCATAGAAGAGGGAAGAGGGAAGAGTATCCTGTCATAATTAGAGAAAAAGAGACATATCATCCCTGTATCCTGTCATAATGTAAGCAGAGAAAAGAGACATTGCATAGAAGAGGGAAGAGTGTGCTTAATATCATCCCTGTATCCTGTCATAATGTAAGCAGAGAAAAGAGACATTGCATAGAAGAGGGGAAGAGGTGCTTAATATCATCCCTGTATCCTGTCATATGTAAGCAGAGAAAAAGAGACATTGCAGAAGAAAAGAGTCATTATGTAAATAGAGAAAAGAGACATAGAAGAGGGGAAGAGTGTGCTTAATATCATCCCTGTATCCTGTCATAATGTAAGCAGAGAAAAAGAGACATTGCATAGAAGAGGGGAAGAGTGTGCTTAATATCATCCCTGTATCCTGTCATTATGTAAACAGAGAAAAAGAGACATTGCATAGAAGAGGGGAAGAGTGTGCTTAATATCATCCCTGTATCCTGTCATTATGTAAACAGAGAAAAAGAGACATTGCATAGAAGAGGGGAAGAGTGTGCTTAATATCATCCCTGTATCCTGTCATAATGTAAGCAGAGAAAAAAAGACATAGTATATAGGAGGGAAGAGTGTGCTTAATATCATCCCTGTATCCTGTCATAATGTAAGCAGAGAAAAAGAGACATTGCATAGAAGAGGGGAAGAGTGTGCTTAATATCATCCCTGTATCCTGTCATAATGTAAGCCGAGAAAAAGAGACATAGTATATAGGAGGGAAGAGTGTGCTTAATATCATCCCTGTATCCTGTCATAATGTAAGCAGAGAAAAAGAGACATTGCATAGAAGAGGGATAGAATGTGCTTAATATCATCCCTGTATCCTGTCATAATGTATGCAGAGAAAAGAGACATCATCCCTGTATCATAGAAGAGGGAAGAAGAGGGGAAGAGGTGCTATCCCGTATCATCCCTGTATCCTGTCATAATGTAAGCAGAGAAAAGAGACATTGCATAGAAGAGGGGAAGAGTGTGCTTAATATCATCCCTGTATCCTGTCATAATGTAAGCAGAGAAAAAGAGACATTGCATAGAAGAGGGGAAGAGTGTGCTTAATATCATCCCTGTATCCTGTCATAATGTAAGCAGAGAAAAAGAGACATAGCATAGAAGAGGGAAGAGGTGCTTAATATCATCCCTGTATCCTGTCATAATGTAAGAGGGGGAAGAGTGTAAATAGAGAAAAAGAGACATTGCATAGAAGAGGGGAAGAGGTGCTTAATATCATCCCTGTATCCTGTCATAATGTAAGCAGAGAAAAGAGACATTGCATAGAAGAGGGGAGAGTGTGCTTAATATCATCCCCTGTATCCTGTCATAATGTAAGCAGAGAAAAAGAGACATATAGAAGAGGGGTAGGGGTATCCTGTCATAATGTAAGAGAGAAAAAGAGACATAATATCATCCCATCCCTATCCTGTCATAATGTAAGCAGAAAAAAAGAGACATTGCATAGAAGAGGGGAAGAGTGTGCTTAATATCATCCCTGTATCCTGTCATAATGTAAGCAGAGAAAAAAAAGACATAGCATAGAAGAGGGAAGAGGTGCTTAATATCATCCCTGTATCCTGTCATAATGTAAGCAGAGAAAAAGAGACATTGCATAGAAGAGGGAAGAGTGTGCTTAATATCATCCCTGTATCCTGTCATAATGTAAGCAGAGAAAAAGAGACATTGCATAGAAGAGGGTATCCTGTCAGTGTGAAGAGGAAGAGATTGGTATAATATCATCCCTGTATCCTGTCATAATGTAAGCAGAGAAAAAGAGACATTGCATAGAAGAGGGAAGAGTGTGCTTAATATCATCCCTGTATCCTGTCATAATGTAAAGAGAGAAAAAGAGACATTGCATAGAAGAGGGAAAAGAGACATGTGTTAATATCATCCCTGTATCCTGTCATAATGTAAGCAGAGAAAAAGACATAGCATAGAAGAGGGAAGAGTGTGCTTAATATCATCCCTGTATCCTGTCATAATGTAAGCAGAGAAAAGAGACACAGATAGAAGAGGGGAAGAGTGTGCTTAATATCATCCCTGTATCCTGTCATAATGTAAACAGAGAAAAGAGACATTGCATAGAAGAGGGAAGAGTGTGCTTAATATCATCCCTGTATCCTGTCATAATGTAAGCAGAGAAAAAGAGACATAGCATAGAAGAGGGAAGAGTGTGCTTAATATCATCCCTGTATCCTGTCATAATGTAAGCAGAGAAAAGAGACATTGCATAGAAGAGGGAAGAGTGCTTAATATCATCCCTGTATCCTGTCATAATGTAAGCAGAGAAAAGAGACATTGCATAGAAGAGGGAAGAGTGTGCTTAATATCATCCCTGTATCCTGTCATAATGTAAACAGAGAAAAAGAGAGACATTGCATAGAAGAGGGGAAGAGTGTGTTAATATCATCCCTGTATCCTGTCATAATGTAAGCAGAGAAAAGAGACATTGCATAGAAGAGGGAAGAGTGTGCTTAATATCATCCCTGTATCCTGTCATAATGTTGCATAGAAGAGGGGTAGAAAATATCATCCCTGAGACATAATGTAAGCATAGAAAAAGAGACATAGGGAAGAGTGTGCATTAATATCATCCCTGTATCCTGTCATAATGTAAGCAGAGAAAAAGAGACATAACATAGAAGAGGGAAGAGTGTGCTTAATATCATCCCTGTATCCTGTCATAATGTAAGCAGAGAAAAAAGAGACATTGCACATATCATCCCCTGCATAGAATGAGAGAAAAAGAGACATAGCATAGAAGAGGGGAAGAGTTTAATATCATCCCTGTATCCTGTCATAATGTAAGCAGAGAAAAAGAGACATTGCATAGAAGAGGGAAGAGTGTGCTTAATATCATCCCTGTATCCTGTCATAATGTAAGCAGAGAAAAAGAGACATAACATAGAAGAGGGAAGAGTGTGCTTATCATCATCCCTGTATCCTGTCATAATGTAAACAGAGAAAAGAGACATTGCATAGAAGAGGGGTAGAGGTGCTTAATATCATCCCTGTATCCTGTCATAATGTAAGAGAAAAAGAGACATAGCATAGAAGAGGGAAGAGTGTGCTTAATATCATCCCTGTATCCTGTCATAATGTAAGCAGAGAAAAGAGAGACATATCATCCCTGCATAGAAGAGGGAAGAGGGGAAGAGGTGTGCTTAATATCATCCCTGTATCCTGTCATAATGTAAGCAGAGAAAAAGAGACATTGCATAGAAGAGGGAAGAGTGTGCTTAATATCATCCCTGTATCCTGTCATAATGTAAACAGAGAGAAAAAGAGACATAGCATAGAAGAGGGGAAGAGTGTGCTTAATATCATCCCTGTATCCTGTCATAATGTAAGCAGAAAAAAAAGAGACAGAGCATAGAAGAGGGAAGAGTGTGCTTAATATCATCCCCTGTATCCTGTCATAATGTAAGCAGAGAAAAAGACATATTGCATAGAAGAGGGGAAGAGTGTGCTTAATATCATCCCTGTATCCTGTCATAATGTAAACAGAGAAAAAGAGACATAGCATAGAAGAGGGAAGAGGTGCTTAATATCATCCCTGTATCCTGTCATAATGTAAGAGAGAAAAAAGACATTGCATAGAAGAGGGAAGAGTGTGCTTAATATCATCCCTGTATCCTGTCATAATGTAAGCAGAGAAAAAGACATAGCATAGAAGAGGGAAGAGTGTGCTTAATATCATCCCTGTATCCTGTCATAATGTAAACAGAGAAAAGAGACATAGCATAGAAGAGGGGAAGAGTGTGCTTAATATCATCCCTGTATCCTGTCATAATGTAAGCAGAGAAAAAGAGACATAGCATAGAAGAGGGGAAGTGTGTGTAATATCATCCCTGTATCCTGTCATAATGTAAGCAGAGAAAAAGAGACATAGCATAGAAGAGGGGAAGAGTGTGCTTAATATCATCCCTGTATCCTGTCATAATGTAAGCAGAGAAAAAGAGACATAGCATAGAAGAGGGAAGAGTGTGCTTAATATCATCCCTGTATCCTGTCATTATGTAAACAGAGAAAAAGAGACATAGCATAGAAGAGGGAAGAGTGTGCTTAATATCATCCCTGTATCCTGTCATAATGTAAGCAGAGAAAAAGAGACATAGCATAGAAGAGGGGAAGAGTGTGCTTAATATCATCCCTGTATCCTGTCATTATGTAAGCAGAGAAAAAGAGACATAGCATAGAAGAGGGAAGAGTGTGCTTAATATCATCCCTGTATCCTGTCATAATGTAAGCAGAGAAAAAGAGACATAGCATAGAAGAGGGGAAGAGTGTGCTTAATATCATCCCTGTATCCTGTCATAATGTAAGCAGAGAAAAAGAGACATAGCATAGAAGAGGGGAAGAGTGTGCTTAATATCATCCCTGTATCCTGTCATAATGTAAGCAGAGAAAAAGAGACATTGCATAGAAGAGGGAAGAGAATATCATCCCTGTATCCTGTCATAATGTAAGCAGAGAAAAGAGACATAGCATAGAAGAGGGAAAGAGTGTGCTTAATATCATCCCTTTATCCTGTCATAATATAATCAGAGAAAAAGAGACATAGCATAGAAGAGGGAAGAGTGTGCTTAATATCATCCCTGTATCCTGTCAAATGTAAACAGAGAAAAAGAGAGACATAGAAGAGGGAAGAGTGTGTAATATCATCCCTGTATCCTGTCATAATGTAAGCAGAGAAAAAGAGACATATGCATAGAAGAGGGAAGAGGTGCTTAATATCATCCCTGTATCCTGTCATAATGTAAGCAGAGAAAAAGAGACATAGCATAGAAGAGGGAAGAGTGTGCTTAATATCATCCCTGTATCCTGTCATAATGTAAGCAGAGAAAAAGAGACATAGCATAGAAGAGGGAAGAGTGTGCTTAATATCATCCCTGTATCCTGTCATAATGTAAGCAGAGAAAAGAGACATAGCATAGAAGAGGGAAGAGTGTGCTTAATATCATCCCTGTATCCTGTCATTATGTAAACAGAGAAAAAGAGACATTGCATAGAAGAGGGGGAGAGTGTGCTTAATATCATCCCTGTATACTGTCATAATGTAAACAGAGAAAAGAGACATTGCATAGAAGAGGGAAGAGAAGTGCTTAATATCATCCCTGTATCCTGTCATAATGTAAACAGAGAAAAGAGAGACATTGCATAGAAGAGGGAAGAGTGTGCTTAATATCATCCCTGTATCCTGTCATAATGTAAGCAGAGAAAAGAGACATTGCATAGAAGAGGGGGAAGAGTGTGCTTAATATCATCCCTGTATCCTGTCATAATGTAAGAGAAAAAGACATAGAGAAAAAGAGAATATCATCCCTGTATCCTGTCATAATGTAAGAAGAAAAAAGAGACATTGGAAGAGGGAAGAGTGTGCTTAATATCATCCCTGTATCCTGTCATAATGTAAGCAGAGAAAAAGAGACATAGCATAGAAGAGGGGAAGAGTGTGCTTAATATCATCCCTGTATCCTGTCATAATGTAAGCAGAGAAAAAGAGACATAGCATAGAAGAGGGAAGAGTGTGCTTAATATCATCCCTGTATCCTGTCATAATGTAAGCAGAGAAAAAGAGACATAGCATAGAAGAGGGAAGAGTGTGCTTAATATCATCCCTGTATACTGTCATAATGTAAGCAGAGAAAAAAAGACATAGTATATAGGAGGGAAGAGTGTGCTTAATATCATCCCTGTATCCTGTCATAATGTAAGCAGAGAAAAAGAGACATTGCATAGAAGAGGGAAGAGTGTGCTTAATATCATCCCTGTATCCTGTCATAATGTAAGCAGAGAAAAAGAGACATAGCATAGAAGAGGGGAGAGTGTGCTTAATATCATCCCTGTATCCTGTCATAATGTAAGCAGAGAAAAGAGACATTGCATAGAAGAGGGAAGAGGTGCTTAATATCATCCCTGTATCCTGTCATAATGTAAGCAGAGAAAAAGAGACATTGCATAGAAGAGGGAAGAGTGTGCTTAATATCATCCCTGTATCCTGTCATAATGTAAACAGAGAAAAGAGACATAGCATAGAAGAGGGAAGAGAGAAAAAAGAGACATAGCATAAGAGGGAAGAGTGCTTAATATCATCCCTGTATCCTGTCATAATGTAATCAGAGAAAAAGAGACATTGCATAGAAGAGGGTAAGAGAGTGCTTAATATCATCCCTGTATCCTGTCATAATGTAAGCAGAGAAAAAGAGACATAGCATAGAAGAGGGAAGAGTGTGCTTAATATCATCCCTGTATCCTGTCATAATGTAAGCAGAGAAAAAGAGACATAGCATAGAAGAGGGAAGAGTGTGCTTAATATCATCCCTGTATCCTGTCATAATGTAAGCAGAGAAAAAGAACATAGCATAGAAGAGGGAAGATAGCATCCCCAACTCCTGTCATAATGTAAGGAGAAAAAGTGACATATCATAGAAGAAGGGAAAAGTAATATCATCCCTGTATCCTGTCATAATGTAAGCAGAGAAAAAGAGACATAGCATAGAAGAGGGAAGAGTGTGCTTAATATCATCCCTGTATCCTGTCATAATGTAAGCAGAGAAAAAGAGACATAGCAGAGAAGTGGGAAGAGTGTGCTTAATATCATCCCTGTATCCTGTCATAATGTAAGCAGAGAAAAAGAGACATAGCAGAGAAGTGGGAAGAGTGTGCTTAATATCATCCCTGTATCCTTTCATAATGTAAGCAGTGAAAAAGAGACATAGCATAGAAGAGGGAAGAGTGTGCTTAATATCATCCCTGTATCCTGTCGTAATATAAGCAGAGAAAATTGACATTGCATAGAAGAGGGAAGAGTGTGTTTAATATCATCCTTGTATCCTGTCATAATGTAAGCAGAATAAAAGTGACACAGCATACAAGAGGGGAAGAGTATGCTTACTATCATCCCTGTATCCTGTCATTATATAAGCAGAGAAAAAGAGACATAGCATAGAAGAGGGAAGAGTGTGCTTAATATCATCCCTGTATCCTGTCAGTAAGCAGAGAAAAGAGACAGAGCATAGAAGAGGGAAGAGTGTGCTTAATATCATCCCTGTATCCTGTCATAATGTAAGCAGAGAAAAGAGACATAGCATAGAAGAGGGGAAGAGAGTGCTTAATATCATCCCCTATCCTGTCATAATGTAAGCAGAGAAAAGAGACATAGCATAGAAGAGGGGAAGAGTGTGCCATATCATCCCTGTATCCTGTCATAATGTAAGCAGAGAAAAAGACATTGCATAGAAGAGGGGAAGAGTGTGCTTAATATCATCCCTGTATCCTGTCATAATGTAAGCAGAGAAAAAAGACATAGTATAAGAGGGGAAGAGTGTTCTAATATCATCCCTGTATCCTGTCATAATGCAAAGCAGAGAAAAAGAGACATAGCATAGAAGAGGGAAGAGAGTGCTTAATATCATCCCTGTATCCTGTATAATGTAAGCAGAGAAAAAGAGACATAGCATAGAAGAGGGGAAGAGTGTGCTTAATATCATCCCTGTATCCTGTCATAATGTAAGAAAAGAGACAGAGAAAAGAGGGGAAGACATTAAGCAGAGAAAAGAGACATAGAAGAGGGAAGAGTGTGCTTAATATCATCCCTGTATCCTGTCATAATGTAAGCAGAGAAAAAGAGACATAGCATAGAAGAGGGAAGAGTGTGCTTAATATCATCCCTGTATCCTGTCATAATGTAAGCAGAGAAAAGAGACATAGCATAGAAGAGGGGAAGAGTGTGCTTAATATCATCCCTGTATCCTGTCATAATGTAAGCAGAGAAAAAGAGACATAGCATAGAAGAGGGAAGAGTGTGCCCTTAATATCATCCCTGTATCCTGTCATAATGTAAGCAGAGAAAAAGAGACATAGCATAGAAGAGGGAAGAGAGTGCTTAATATCATCCCTGTATCCTGTCATAATGTAAGCAGAGAAAAAGAGACATAGCATAGAAGAGGGAAGAGTGTGCTTAATATCATCCCTGTATCCTGTCATAATGTAAGCAGAGAAAAGAGACATTGCATAGAAGAGGGAAGAGTGTGCTTAATATCATCCCTGTATCCTGTCATAATGTAAGCAGAGAAAAGAGACATAGCAGCATAGAAGAGGGAAGAGGTGCTTAATATCATCCCTGTATCCTGTCATAATGTAAGCAGAGAAAAATTGACATAGCATAGAAGAGGGAAGAGTGTGCTTAATATCATCCCTGTATCCTGTCATAATGTAAGCAGAGAAAAAAGAGACATAGCATAGAAGAGGGAAGAGTGTGCTTAATATCATCCCTGTATCCTGTCATAATGTAAGCAGAGAAAAGAGACATAGCATAGAAGAGGGAAGAGTGTGCTTAATATCATCCCTGTATCCTGTCATAATGTAAGCAGAGAAAAGAGACAGAGATAGAAAAAGAGTGTGATAATATCATCCCTGTATCCTCTCATAATGTAAGCAGAGAAAAAGAGACATAGCATAGAAGAGGGAAGAGTGTGATAATATCATCCCCTGTATCCTGTCATAATGTAAGCAGAGAAAAAAGAGACATAGCATAGAAGAGGAAGAGTGTGCTTAATATCATCCCTGTATCCTGTCATAATGTAAGCAGAGAAAAAGAGACATAGCATAGAAGAGGGAAGAGTGTGTTTAATATCATCCCTGTATCCTGTCATAATGTAAGCAGAGAAAAAGAGACATAGCATAGAAGAGGGAAGAGTGTGCTTAATATCATCCCTGTATCTTGTCATAATGTAAACAGAGAAAAAATCATCCCTTGAGACATAGCATAGAAGAGGGAAGAGTGTGCTTAATATCATCCCTGTATCCTGTCATAATGTAAGCAGAGAAAAAGAGACATAGCATAGAAGAGGGAAGAGTGTGCTTAATATCATCCCTGTATCCTGTCATAATGTAAGCAGAGAAAAAGAGACATAGCATAGAAGAGGGAAGAGTGTCATTAATATCATCCCTGTATCCTGTCATAATGTAAACAGAGAAAAAGAGACATAGCATAGAAGAGGGAGTGTGAATCATCCCCTGTATCCTGTCATAATGTGCTTAATATCATCCCTGTATCCTGTCATAATGTAAGCAGAGAGAAAAGAGACATAGCATAGAAGAGGGGGAAGAGTGTGCTTAATATCATCCCTGTATCCTGTCATAATGTAAGCAGAGAAAAAGAGACATAGCATAGAAGAGGGAAGAGGTGCTTAATATCATCCCTGTATCCTGTCATAATGTAAACAGAGAAAAAGACAGAGCATAGAAGAGGGAAGAGTGTGTTTATATCATCCATGTATCCTCTCATATGAAGAGAAAAGAGAGACATAGCATAGAAGAGGGAAGAGTGTGCTTAATATCATCCCTGTATCCTGTCATTATGTAAACAGAGAAAAAGAGACATAGCATAGAAGAGGGAAGAGTGTGTTTAATATCATCCCTGTATCCTGTCATAATGTAAGCAGAGAAAAAGAGACATTGCATAGAAGAGGGAAGAGTGTGCTTAATATCATCCCTGTATCCTGTCATAATGTAAGCAGAGAAAAAGAGACATTGCATAGAAGAGGGAAGAGTGTGCTTAATATCATCCCTGTATCCTGTCATAATGTAAGCAGAGAAAAAGAGACATAGCATAGAAGAGGGAAGAGTGTGCTTAATATCATCCCTGTATCCTGTCATAATGTAAGCAGAGAAAAAGAGACATAGCATAGAAGAGGGAAGAGTGTGCTTAATATCATCCTTGTATCCTGTCATAATGTAAGCAGAGAAAAGAGACATTGCATAGAAGAGGGGAAGAGTGTGCTTAATATCATCCCTGTATCCTGTCATAATGTAAGCAGAGAAAAAAGAGACATTAATGTATAGAGAGAGGAAGAGAAGAGTGCTTAATATCATCCCTGTATCCTGTCATAATGTAAGCAGAGAAAAAGAGACATAGCATAGAAGAGGGAAGAGTGTGCTTAATATCATCCCTGTATCCTGTCATAATGTAAGCAGAGAAAAAAGAGACATTGCATAGAAGAGGGAAGAGGTGCTTAATATCATCCCTGTATCCTGTCATAATGTAAGCAGAGAAAAAGAGACATAGCATAGAAGAGGGGAAGAGGTGCTTAATATCATCCCTGTATCCTGTCATAATGTAAGCAGAGAAAAGAGACATAGCATAGAAGAGGGGAAGAGTGCTTAATATCATCCCTGTATCCTGTCATAATGTAAGCAGAGAAAAGAGACATAGCATAGAAGAGGGAAGAGTGTGCTTAATATCATCCCTGTATCCTGTCATAATGTAAGCAGAGAAAAAGAGACATAGCATAGAAGAGGGAAGAGGTGCTTAATATCATCCCTGTATCCTCCATGTCAAGCAATGAAAAAGAGACAGAGAAAAAGAGACATAGTCATAGAAGAGAGGAGACATAGCATAGAAGAGGGAAGAGTGTGCAATATCATCCCTGTATCCTGTCATAATGTAAGCAGAGAAAAAGAGACATAGCATAGAAGAGGGAAGAGTGTGCTTAATATCATCCCCTGTATCCTGTCATAATGTAAGCAGAGAAAAGAGACATAGCATAGAAGAGGGAAGAGTGTGCTTAATATCATCCCTGTATCCTGTCATAATGTAAAGAGAAAAAGAGACATAGCATAGAAGAGGGGAAGAGTGTGCTTAATATCATCCCTGTATCCTGTCATAATGTAAGCAGAGAAAAAAGAGACATTGCATAGAAGAGGGAAGAGTGTGCTTAATATCATCCCTGTATCCTGTCATAATGTAAGCAGAGAAAAGAGACATAGCATAGAAGAGGGAAGAGTGTGCTTAATATCATCCCTGTATCCTGTCATAATGTAAGCAGAGAAAAAGAGACATAGCATAGAAGAAAAAAGAAGAGATGAGGCTTAAATATCATCCCTGTATCCTGTCATAATGTAAGCAGAGAAAAAAGGACATTGCATAGAAGAGGGGAAGAGTGTGCTTAATATCATCCCTGTATCCTGTCATAATGTAAGCAGAGAAAAGAGACATAGCATAGAAGAGGAAGAGGTGTGCTTAATATCATCCCTGTATCCTGTCATAATGTAAGCAGAGAAAAAGAGAGACATAGCATAGAAGAGGGAAGAGAGTGCTTAATATCATCCCTGTATCCTGTCATAATGTAAGCAGAGAAAAGAGACATAGCATAGAAGAGGGGAAGAGTGTGCTTAATATCATCCCTGTATCCTGTCATAATGTAAGCAGAGAAAAAGAGACATAGCATAGAAGAGGGAAGAGTGTGCTTAATATCATCCCTGTATCCTGTCATTATGTAAGCAGAGAAAAGGGACATAGCATAGAAGAGGGAAGAGTGAGCTTAATATCATCCCTGTATCCTGTCATAATGTAAGCAGAGAAAAAGAGACATAGCATAGAAGAGGGAAGAGTGTGCTTAATATCATCCCTGTATCCTGTCATAATGTAAGCAGAGAAAAGAGACATAGCATAGAAGAAGAGAGTGTGCTTAATATCATCCCTGTATCCTGTCATAATGTAAGCAGAGAAAAGAGACATAGCATAGAAGAGGGAAGAGTGTGCTTAATATCATCCCCTGTATCCTGTCATAATGTAAGCAGAGAAAAAGAGACATAGCATAGAAGAGGGAAGAGTGTGCTTAATATCATCCCTGTATCCTGTCATAATGTAAGCAGAGAAAAGAAAAAGAAATAGACATTCCTGACATAGAAGAGGGAAGAGGGAAGTGTGCTTAATATCATCCCTGTATCCTGTCATAATGTAAGCAGAAAAAAGAGAGACATCCCTGCATCCTGCATAATGAAGAGGGAAGAGGTGCTTAATATCATCCCTGTATCCTGTCATAATGTAAGCAGAGAAAAATTGAGACATATCCATAGAAGAGGGAAAAGAGTGTGAGGGGAAGAGTGTGCTAATATCATCCCTGTATCCTGTCATAATGTAAGCAGAGAAAAAGAGACATAGCATAGAAGAGGGAAGAGTGTGCTTAATATCATCCTGTATCCTGTCATAATGTAAGCAGAGAAAAAGAGACATAGCATAGAAGAGGGGAAGAGGTGCTTAATATCATCCCTGTATCCTGTCATAATGTAAGCAGAGAAAAAGGGACATAGCATAGAAGAGGGAAGAGTGTGCTTAATATCATCCCTGTATCCTGTCATAATGTAAGCAGAGAAAAAGAGACACAGCATAGAAGAGGGAAGAGTGTGCTTAATATCATCCCTGTATCCTGTCATAATGTAAGCAGAGAAAAAGAGACATAGCATAGAAGAGGGAAGAGTGTGCTTAATATCATCCATGTATCCTGTCATAATGTAAGCAGAGAAAAAGAGACATAGCATAGAAGAGGGAAGAGTGTGCTTAATATCATCCCTGTATCCTGTCATAATGTAAGCAGAGAAAAAGAGACATAGCATAGAAGAGGGAAGAGTGTGCTTAATATCATCCCTGTATCCTGTCATAATGTAAGCAGAGAAAAAGACAGAGCATAGAAGAGGGGAGAGAAGAGTGTGCTTAATATCATCCCTGTATCCTGTCATAATGTAAGCAGAGAAAAAGAGACATAGCATAGAAGAGGGAAGAGTGTGCTTAATATCATCCCTGTATCCTGTCATAATGTAAGCAGAGAAAAAGAGACATCCTGCATAGAAGAGGGAAGAGTGTGGGGAAGAGTAATATCATCCCTGTATCCTGTCATAATGTAAGCAGAGAAAAGAGACATAGCATAGAAGAGGGAAGAGGTGCTTAATATCATCCCTGTATCCTGTCATAATGTAAACAGAGAAAAAAGACATTGCATAGAAGAGACATAGCATAGAAGAGGGAAGAGTGTGCTTAATATCATCCCTGTATCCTGTCATAATGTAAGCAGAGAAAAGAGACATAGCATAGAAGAGGGAAGAGTGTGTTTAATATCATCCCCTGTATCCTGTCATAATGTAAGCAGAGAAAAAAGAGACATTGCATAGAAGAGGGAAGAGTGTGCTTAATATCATCCCTGTATCCTGTCATAATGTAAGCAGAGAAAAAGAGACAGAGCATAGAAGAGGGAAGAGTGTGCTTAATATCATCCCTGTATCCTGTCATTATGTAAACAGAGAAAAACATAGAGAGGGAAGAGTGAAGGGGGAAGAGGTATCATCCCTGTATCCTGTCATAATGTAAGCAGAGAAAAGAGACATAGCATAGAAGAGGGAAGAGTGTGTTAATATCATCCCTGTATCCTGTCATAATGTAAGCAGAGAAAAGAGACATAGCATAGAAGAGGGAAGAGGTGTTAATATCATCCCCTGTATCCTGTCATAATGTAAACAGAGAAAAAGAGACATAGCATCCCTGTGCTTATCATCCCTGTATCCTGTCATAAAGCAGAGAAAAACACATTGAGACATAGAATAGAAGAGGGAAGAGGTGCATTATCATCCCTGTATCCTGTCATAATGTAAGAGAAAAGAGATATTGCATAGAAGAGGGAAGAGTGTGCTTAATATCATCCCTGTATCCTGTCATTATGTAAACAGAGAAAAAGAGACATAGCATAGAAGAGGGAAGAGTGTGCTTAATATCATCCCCTGTATCCTGTCATTATGTAAACAGAGAAAAAAGAGACATTGCATAGAAGAGGGAAGAGTGTGCTTAATATCATCCATGTATCCTCTCATTATGTAAACAGAAAAAAGAGACATTGCATAGAAGAGGGAAAGAGTGTGCTTAATATCATCCCTGTATCCTGTCATAATGTAAGCAGAGAAAAAGAGACATAGCATAGAAGAGGAAGAGAGACATAGCTTAAGATATCATCCCTGTATCCTGTCATAATGTAAGCAGAGAAAAAGAGACATTGCATAGAAGAGGAAGAGAGTGTGCTTAATATCATCCCTGTATCCTCTCATTATGTAAACAGAGAAAAAGAGACATAGCATAGAAGAGGGAAGAGTGTGCTTAATATCATCCCTGTATCCTGTCATTATGTAAACAGAGAAAAAGAGACATTGCATAGAAGAGGGGAAGAGTGTGCTTAATATCATCCCTGTATCCTGTCATAATGTAAGCAGAGAAAAAGAGACATTGCATAGAAGAGGGAAGAGTGTGCTTAATATCATCCCTGTATCCTGTCATTATGTAAACAGAGAAAAAGAGACATAGCATAGAAGAGGGAAGAGAGTGTGCTTAATATCATCCCTGTATCCTGTCATTATGTAAACAGAGAAAAAGAGACATAGCATAGAAGAGGGAAGAGTGTGCTTAATATCATCCCTGTATCCTGTCATAATGTAAGCAGAGAAAAAGAGACATTGCATAGAAGAGGGAAGAGTGTGCTTAATATCATCCCTGTATCCTCTCATTATGTAAACAGAGAAAAAGAGACATAGCATAGAAGAGGGAAGAGTGTGCTTAATATCATCCCTGTATCCTGTCATTATGTAAACAGAGAAAAAGAGACATAGCATAGAAGAGGGAAGAGTGTGCTTAATATCATCCCTGTATCCTGTCATTATGTAAACAGAGAAAGAGACATAGCATAAAGAGGGAAGAGTGTGTTTAATATCATCCCCTATCCTGTCATAATGTAAGAGAGAAAAGAGACATAGCATAGAAGAGGGAAGAGTGTGCTTAATATCATCCCTGTATCCTGTCATAATGTAAACAGAGAAAAAGAGACATAGCATAGAAGAGGGAAGAGTGAAGAGGGAAGAGTGTGCTTAATATCATCCCTGTATCCTGTCATAATGTAAACAGAGAAAAAGAGACATAGCATAGAAGAGGGAAGAGTGTGCTTAATATCATCCCTGTATCCTGTCATTATGTAAACAGAGAAAAAGAGATATAGCATAGAAGAGGAGAAGATAGAAGAGGGAAGAGTGTGCTTAATATCATCCCTGTATCCTGTCATAATGTAAACAGAGAAAAAGAGACAGAGCATAGAAGAGGAAGAGGTGCTTAATATCATCCCTGTATCCTGTCATAATGTAAACAGAGAAAAAGAGACAGAGCATAGAAGAGGGAAGAGTGTGCTTAATATCATCCCTGTATCCTGTCATTATGTAAACAGAGAAAAGAGACATAGCATAGAAGAGGGAAGAGTGTGCTTAATATCATCCCTGTATCCTGTCATTATGTAAACAGAGAAAAAAGAGACATAGCATAGAAGAGGGAAGAGTGTGCTTAATATCATCCCTGTATCCTGTCATAATGTAAACAGAGAAAAGAGACATAGCATAGAAGAGGGAAGAGGTGCTTAATATCATCCCTGTATCCTGTCATAATGTAAGCAGAGAAAAGAGACAGAGCATAGAAGAGGGAAGAGTGTGCTTAATATCATCCCTGTATCCTGTCATAATGTAAGCAGAGAAAAAGAGACAGAGCATAGAAGAGGGAAGAGTGTGCTTAATATCATCCATGTATCCTCTCATTATGTAAGCAGAGAAAAAGAGACATAGCATAGAAGAGGGAAGAGTGTGCTTAATATCATCCCTGTATCCTGTCATTATGTAAACAGAGAAAAAGAGACATAGCATAGAAGAGGGAAGAGTGTGCTTAATATCATCCCTGTATCCTGTCATAATGTAAGCAGAGAAAAAGAGACATAGCATAGAAGAGGGAAGAGTGTGCTTAATATCATCCATGTATCCTCTCATTATGTAAGCAGAGAAAAAGAGACATAGCATAGAAGAGGGAAGAGTGTGCTTAATATCATCCCTGTATCCTGTCATAATGTAAGCAGAGAAAAAGAGACAGAGCATAGAAGAGGGAAGAGTGTGCTTAATATCATCCCTGTATCCTGTCATAATGTAAAAGAGACAGAGAAAAAGAGAGACATCAGCATAGAAGAGGGAAGAGTGTGCTTAATATCATCCCTGTATCCTGTCATAATGTAAGCAGAGAAAAGAGACATAGCATAGAAGAGGGAAGAGGTGCTTAATATCATCCCTGTATCCTCTCATTATTTAAGCAGAGAAAAGAGACATTGCATAGAAGAGGGAAGAGGTGCTTAATATCATCCCCTGTATCCTGTCTCATTATGTAAGCAGAGAAAAAGAGACATTGCATAGAAGAAAAGGGAAGAGTGTGCTTAATATCATCCCTGTATCCTGTCATTATGTAAACAGAGAAAAAGAGACAGAGCATAGAAGAGGGAAGAGGTGTGCTTAATATCATCCCTGTATCCTGTCATAATGTAAGCAGAGAAAAGAGACATAGAATAGAAGAGGGAAGATCATCCCTGTAATATCATCCCTGTATCCTGTCATAATGTAAGCAGAGAAAAAGAGACAGAGCATAGAAGAGGGAAGAGTGTGCTTAATATCATCCCTGTATCCTGTCATAATGTAAGCAGAGAAAAAGAGACAGAGCATAGAAGAGGGAAGAGTGTGCTTAATATCATCCCTGTATCCTGTCATTATGTAAGCAGAGAAAAAGAGACATAGCATAGAAGAGGGAAGAGTGTGCTTAATATCATCCCTGTATCCTGTCATAATGTAAACAGAGAAAAGAGAGAGCATAGAAGAGGGAAGAGTGTGCTTAATATCATCCCTGTATCCTGTCATAATGTAAGCAGAGAAAAGAGACATAGCATAGAAGAGGGAAGTGTGCTTAATATCATCCCTGTATCCTGTCATTATCAAACAGAGAAAAGAGACATGTCATAGAAGAGGGAAGAGTGTGTAATATCATCCCTGATCCTGTCAAATGAGACATAAGCATAGAAGAGGGAAGAGAGTGCTTAATATCATCCCTGTATCCTGTCATAATGTAAGCAGAGAAAAAGAGACATAGCATAGAAGAGGGAAGAGTGTGCTTAATATCATCCCCCTGTATCCTGTCATAATGTAAGCAGAGAAAAGAGACATAGCATAGAAGAGGGAAGAGGTGCTTAATATCATCCCTGTATCCTGTCATAATGTAAGCAGAGAAAAAGAGACATAGCATAGAAGAGGGGAAGAGTGTGCTTAATATCATCCCTGTATCCTGTCATAATGTAAGCAAAGAAAAAGAGACATTGCATAGAAGAGGGAAGAGTGTGCTTAATATCATCCCTGTATCCTCTCATTATGTAAAGAGAGAAAAAGTAACAGAATATGATATTAAGCACATTCTTCCCTCTTCTATGCTATGTCTCTCTTTCTCAAATAACATCCCTGTATCCTGTCATAATATAAGCATAGAAAAAGAGGCATAGCATAGAAGAGGGTGGAGTGTAGATTGTGATTAATATCATCCCTGTATCCTGTCATATGTACGCAGAGAAAAAGTGACATAGCATAGAAGAAGGAAGAGTGTTCTTAATATCATCCCTGAATCCAGTCATAATGAAATGATCATTTCAGAATGAATAGCACTCAGTGACTCTTTTCAAATTCCACAAATATCAGGGGTAAAACTGTTTCATTTGAATCGCTAACGTGAACTTTGTAAGCCGAGGATCAGTTATAGAAATCAACATTGAAAAGCAATCGCACAAATTTGACGCAAGATCTTGGAAATAATCTTTTGCCAATCTCTGTATCTGACAATTTGTCAATTCCTATAATCTCTCTTAAAATATTGTGCGGAAAATTATAAGTAATATTCATACATAATGTCAAATTGTGTTGAAAATTATACGTAATACTTATGCGTAATACAAAAATCATGCTGGAAATTATACGTAATCCTTATACGTAATACAAAAATGAACGGAAAATTATACGTAATACAAAAATCGACGGAAAATTATGCGTAATACAAAAATGAGCGAAAAATTATACGCAATACAAAATGAGCGGAAAATGAAACGTAATACAAAATTGGGAGGAAAATTATACGTAATACAAAAAGAGTGTAAAATTATACGTATTACTAGGCAATTATAAGTATAACACCGTATTGATTTTGTTTTATATAAGTCTGTATTTCTGTGTATATAGTTACTGAATATTTGCATTGTATGTGTAGAAATAAAATTTATTTTTTGTAAAACCATTTTTATATATCATTAAATATTTTTCATTAAATAGGAATTAAATCTGTTGTTAACTGGGTCATGGAATGACTTGTTAATTTTAATGCCTTCCAAATGAAACTGATTTCTATAAATTTTCTGAGAGACCCATTTCTACCTTCCATCAGCATGGCTGATGCTAACCTTCTGGAAATTGTCTCATTCAGCCTTTTCGCTTTGACATTTTCCGCTGGCATGAATAATGTATATTGAATCAATTGTTAGGTCCGCTGCTACAAAACTTGGTCAGTCTTTCGTGCTAGACAATTTTTCTCTCCATATTTATTTATAATCTACCATTTGTTCTCGCTTAGAATATTGCTGCCGCATATTGTCTGGTGCTCTTGCTATACATTTAGAGATTCTTTATAAAATCCAAAGAAGGATCTAAAACTTTATTAGTCAACCTGGCATCTCGCCTTCAGTCACCTTCTCCCAGCCGTAACGCAGCTTCCCTCTGCCTTTTCTATAAATATTTTCAGGGCAATTGTTCTAATTAGCTTTCCACCATGGTACCTAGACTTTATGAATTTAAGCATAGTACTTGATTGGAGGCATGGTCTCATTTTAAATGGCTAGATGTAACCGTATGTTCTATGCTAAGAGTTCCTTCAACTGCACTTCTAGGACTCTCTTCCAAATTTGATCTTTAAAAATTTAAGTACAGTCTCAATAGTTATCATCCATATTCTTAGTTCTTGTTTTATTATTTCTTCAAGATAGTACTTTTCTCATCCCCTCTAACACTCCGTATACCAGTTTCATCTTAATGGCTCTATTGCCTTGTTTAAGTTGAAATGATTAAACAGATCAAGAGAAAAATAAACTGAGAATAAAAAAGTGAAGAGTGGATTTAATAACATCCCTATATTCTGCAATTATGTAAGTAGAGAAAAAGAGGCATATAATGGGAAAGAGAAAAAGTTAACGATAAGCATTTTTACAGAAGACTGGAGAATATTCCTTTTAATTTGTCTGTATACTATCATGATGTATACCTTATGTTACGGTGACATATTTTTAGTGAATCACAAATATCTTTCTGTAACACATATGAAATTTAGTTTTTCTACCATAAGTTTATTTGAATTTCACGAAAGGAGAAATTACACACTTGGACATCACGTTCATTATTTTCAGTCAAAGATATTATTACATATAACACTTCATGTTTTGCATATGTTATTGTGGACTTCATTTTAAAAGTGTGACTATTAATCATCCATTACATATTTATTTTTATAGCAAGCTATATACCATTAATGGAATTGCTAGGGCGCATCATAACTACGATAGAACAAGAAAATCATATCTCTTTACTCTATTTTCTTATTATGTACAAAGTGCTTTTTCTTACTAATGTTCACCCAGTACAAGACCCAAGAGCCATTCAAGTTAGAGGATCACGGCGTGGTGTTCTATTAGAGGAAGAAAGACGCAACAAGTGAAGTTCTTGGGATTATTCAAGAAAGTTAATGGCTAAATGTCGGCGTGAATTGGTCAAGCTATAATTATTGACCAACATCTTCTGGTTCAGACGGAGAAGTTAGAATTATAGTGAGAAAATAGACTTTAAAAAAATCGGAAACCCAGTTAGACAAGAAAAGGAATAAATAATAAGGTGCAAACCGAGCGATATGTGAAATAAAGAGAGACATAGCATAGAAGAGAGAAGAGGGAAGTTGATATCACACTGTATCCTGTCATAATGTAAGAAGAGAAAAAGAGATATAGCATAGAAGTGGGAAGAGTGTGCTTAATATCATCCCTGTATCCTGCCATAATGTTTACCCATAGATGTTGTCTCATACATTTCCCAATGATATTAGCACGTTGCAATGAACTCGACTGGAATTCGAACTCGGCTCTCCGATTTCTCAATCCGAGCCGCTATCTATCACTCCGCTGTCCCTCCATAAATATTTGAAGTCTTTAAGTATAAAGAAAATAAAAAAATAAATACAAAATAAAAAGGTTTAATTTTCACCAAATTATCTAAATTCATGTTTCATGAAATCTCACATATTCTCTTGCACACCATATCAGTGATGTTTTTAATTGTGGATCATTAGGGGTTTTGCGTCTTACAACATCGTATCCCCTCTACACGGCCACTAAATCGATATTGATCAGGTATCGACTTGTGCACTAGACGTCAACTGCATCTCATAATGTAACGCTATCCTAACCCACTGCGACAAAAGAACTCCTTGGGACTTTATAGTTCAATTACGATGAACTTCATTGGTTTCTGTTCTTCATTGTGTGCTATGTTCCCTTAGGACGTAGGCGTTCATGGCTTTCCACAAGTGCTTGTCCCTTCTAGTTCTTAATAAATTTTGCCTCTCTGTTATTTCAAGCCCTATTCCGCCACTTAACCTTATTAAATATGTTGTACATTGTTTTCCTTTGTCCTTCTTGCCCTCTATCTGTCCCGTGAGTATACGATTTTTCGAGCCTAGTTTCAAAGAAAACCAGGTATATATATAGTGACACTCTTGTCTTGCACTGGTAATTAACAATCTTATATATTTTAATCGGAAGTACTTAACTGAGGCATATAGGAAAGGTTTTTGGTCAGATCAAAGTGCATTTCAAAAATAGCTTCTATTGTTTGACCATTTTATCAGATTTCAGAAAGTGGACAAAGAATTTTATCTACATCTTTCTATAAAACATAATGAATAAAATTTAATTTGATATAAATTCTGATTCCGTTGTATAATTCTAACATTTTCTATTGCTAATCTAAAAAATGCAGTC